TTAAATCCTTAAAAAGTGTTGTTTTAACATTGAAAATGGGGAAAATAACAGCATAGAATGACGTATAGATATGTAAAGATTAGTTTAGTGCAATAAAATAGATTTTTAAAAATTTGAAATTCCAGCATGTTTTGGCCATTTTCTCTGAACCACGATTTGCGATGAGTGACTGGTTTGGCTTGTCTTTGCCACATTTTTAATACACTAACTCTAATTTTCTCGCTGTTTTTTTGGTTTAGACCCGCCAAAGTGCATTACATCACACAGCAGCAGGAGGACACATTGAAGCTTGTCAAGTACTTCTAGATCATAAAGCCGACATTCAAATCACTGAGAGAGTAAGTCAGTTTAGTGATATTAATAATAATGATATAAGGCCAGAAAATTGTTGTGTAGTCCAAGAACAGTGAAAACTTGAAATCGCGATCATTTTTTTTAGGCGTACACTAAACAGTACTTGTCATTTCCAATATCCACCATACTGCAATTATATAGAAATGCTGGATTAAATTCTTGTGCAGGCCAAATTTGGCCTGAGATCCTTCAGTTGAGAACTCAGCTTCTAGGCAGTATATGAGTTTAGTGACTGCCAACATTTCAAATTTCTCTGCCTGTAGTGCCATATTTTGTTGAATCTTTTCTTGACTTTTCTTCCAGGCTGGCTCGACGCCTTTACACCTAGCTGCTTGGCATGGCCACATTGATGTATGTAAACTTCTTTTGGAAAGAGGTGCAAACCCAAACGCTAAGAACTATGTAAGTAATAACTCAAGCTTTGTTTATACATTAATTTTAGTTTTATTACGAGGCTTCAAGAGTCCTATTTAATTCTGATAAGAAAAAATATGAAAAAGTTTTTAATTTCTGTTGAGACAAGTTTGGCATAAATGAAGAATAAAGTTATTATTATTATTATTATTATATTCAAACGGCAGGGCTTATTGAACCTACAGTAGGACCCTTGGGTTGAAAGACAAGCATCTTAACCATAAAGGCATTGGTCAACTCAAAGTTAAGTCCTATGCATATCATATTTTCCCTGGTGCTTCAATCAAAACTAATCAAAACATCTCCTCTTTACTGTATGACTTAGACAGGACTATCACCAATGCATGCAGGGGCTAGGAGAGGTCATGCTCAGGTCATTAGCACTCTTCTTGATTACGGAGCGAACGTCAACATAAAGAGTAGCGTAAGTATTCAACAAAAAATGTTGTACTGTAACTCTTTTTAAGTGTGAACGAATCAATCTAATCATGTGATTTCCTGCTATTCATTGCATATTATGCAATACTCTGAGGAATTACATATTCTAATAGGAAAATTCAAAAGTGTATACCACTTTGCCTCATAGAGTAGGTATTCATTCTATAGAATTATACACAAATTAATTGCAAAATCCATATGGAATCCTAAGAGTGACACATGTGTTCTTTCTTTCACCCCTCCCCCCCATTTCTTAACATTCCCTTGTGGCCTGTGTTTGAAATATACATTTTGCTCTGAATAAATATTAATAATTTAAAGTTATTTGTTTGTAATTTGTTTTTTATTGTACATCCTCTATCTGTATCTTATTTATCGTGATGTGTTTATATTGTATTTTATATTGGTGTAAATACATTTGTTTTGTATCGTACATTTCTGTTATTGAACTATTTTTTTCTAGTTTGCTTGGACACCACTACACCGGTCGGCTGTTATGGGTCATGTTGATGTCTGCCAAATTCTGCTGGAGAGAGGAGCCGATGTCAAAGCCAAAGATGAGGTGAGAAAATGACAAAAGAAGCTTGGTGGCCTTTTGACACCTGGATCCTGGATTAAAATCATTCTCATGACTAAAACATCTTTCTAATGAGACTTGCAATTAGTTTATTAGGAATCAGATGGTTATTCAACCCTGCAATAGAGGTGATTCATAATATGAATCACCTCATATATATGCTGCTACATGTAAATGAAATATAAAGGAAAAAAACCACTTGAAATGTTGGTAATAACATAATATGTGATTCAGCAATTACAACGCCTACAATTTTGAATTTTTTTCTCATTTATTTTCCATTTCCTTTCATTAAGTTAATTTCATTGTAGGAAGATTTTCTTGTGTTTTGTCAAAAGCTTTTAATATGATTGGTCTAGTATAGCAACTACACTTGTTCAATGTTTTCTCAAGTCATCAGTGCATTTAACTTTTAAAATATTGTTACTTATTGAGAGTGGTTGAGGGACCAGTTGTGATTCCAACTTTTATTTGTAATAAAGTTGGGGGTTTTCATTCTCACTTTAACTATTTGTTTTTGGCAAGGCCACTATATCTACAGTATGTTGTGGTAGGATCTAATGGTAAAAGTGTATTTTGTCTGTGTTGAGTGCTCATGCTTGACTACTCATCTTGTATTATTATGGTTTCCTATGACCAGGGCTACAAAATGAAGACCATTAATAGTTTATACTGAAATTGCTAAATGATTCTAAACACTATTACTATAATTATTAATTCTAGAAAGTAATTTTAGTTGTATAAAGTGTTTGAATTTGTCCAAATATTGAGTTAGAACACTATTACTATAATTATTAATTCTAGAAAGTAATTTGAGTTGTATAAAGTGTTTGAATTTGTCCAAATATTGAATTCTTCTTTTTTTAGGGAGGCAGAACATGTCTTCACGAAGCAGCTAGCCATGGTCATCCAGAGGTCTGTGAAAAATTGCTATCCAGCCATGCCAACCTTAACAGCTTAACCAAGGTACATCGCATGCTTGATGGCAGCACAATCGCCTATTAGATTGGCACACATTGCAAACGTGGTCATTCGTATTCTCATTCAGTTATTCAGACTTCTTTAATTCTTGGTAGAGTAGCCAACAGTGATTGGTTCAAATACTGATGTGATCCTGATTTATCCCAATAAGATATTTTTGTATTTCATTTACGTGTTACTTTTTCCCAGAGTTAAATATACTATTATAATTGGTTGTGACGGCTTAATAAACACCGTATGGAAAAAATTTCAGACTTCTTCTTTCTTCTATTATTCATTTTATTCTTGTCTTTTTTTTCTTAACCTACAAAGTGTAGTGTAGACCAAAATATACACAAAGAGTTTATTAGTCACTGTAAGATGCTTTTGCTACATAAATTTCTAAGTGCTTACTTAGAATCATCTTGCAGGATGCCTTGGTGGGAGCTCACATCCTGTATTGTAATTGAAGTTCTTTCGTTCTTTAGGATGGTACACATTCACTCCATCTGGCTGCATCCAAAAACCATAGCAGAGTTTGTCAGGTGCTACTCAACTACAATGCTGACATTAATGTAAAGACCAAGGTGAGAGGTCAAGACCATCATGGCACCAACCTGTCTATTCTTCTTCCTTATACTGACACCTATAGGAAGCTATGTAATCCTTGTGTATGGTTGTGGGTGTATAGAACTTCAAACATGTATAGAGAGTGTGTATGTTTTCAAAATTGCTATTCTGTCAAAAAAACTAATTTATGAGTGATAATTAACCATGAACCCTAGAATTAAACCTAGGCTAGAATAATAGGAAAAAAAAGCAATAACCTTGATTTTCAATTGTAACAGTTTTACAGCATATTTAAAAAATATTCAATGTATTAGAAGATTCATTGGTAATGATATTTGTTATATATTGTAGAAATCACTAATATGTTCGCTCTTAAGTGCAATCTTAGTGTTATATAAAAAAAAGTTACTCTGTTTTTTGTGTACCATAGTGCCTGTCTATTTATATTAAATTACTATTTTTTGTATCAGGGGTTTTTTTATGTAATGAGCTGTGCTTCAGAAATTCCCCCTTTCCTTCTTTTCTTTAAATTTAAATTAAAATATATGTTATATTATGTTAATATTGATTTTTTATGTTTATCAACATGTAATGAAATATTATGATAGTACTGTATGTTTGAAGAAAGAAAAAATGGGAATAAATACTAAATGAATGAACGAATGTTTCTGGAAAAACATGTTTTTTGTTGTGATATTTTCAGGATGGTAAGACAGCGCTTGATCTCGCTTCAGACCCGGCAACGACTGAAATCTTGCAACAAGCCGTCAAGCTCCACGACTACAGGGAACTCATGAGCAGAGGCTCAAAAGCGTGGAAGAAAATGAAATTATTTTTTGTTGGCGACCCAGCTGCAGGGAAGACCACTCTCAAGAATACATTACAAAGGGTAGGATCACTTCCTTAACTTTAAAGTGTTAGAGTCAATGTGTGATTAGGCCAGAAAGGTGCTGTATGATGGTGTAATAGGATGATTCATGAGCTTTAACTTATTGACCAGTCAAAAAATAAATGTTGGTGTTCTAACCACCAGTTATCCTCTTGTACTTCTGAGCATGAAAGTATAAAATGTTCTGAGTAGATTAAATGCACTGGCCAAGCACACAGGCAACATACACAGCGAGGTATTATTAAATCCCCTATCTCAAGGTTGAAAGCCAAAGTGCAACCTTCCCACTAGCCTGGGTTCCAGGCCCTAATTTTGGGTTACTCACTCTTTATTGCACACCATATCTAACTTTTTTGGTGTCCCATACTCGATTTTTTTTTTTTCGGATTGGGGCTTGGCCAAACGATACATGCGTACAATTTCCTACATCAAATTTGATGTGGGATATCGTATGTGTGACTGACTTTGTAAGTCATATGATTGGTGTGCTTAATGCATATTAATTAATCTTGGTAATTTTCAAATTGAAGATGCGCTGTGTATCGACCGCTAAGCTAGGCGGCTGCCTATACAAGTTCGTGGCTTTGAAAATGTGAGCATAGTGATTGGTTGAAGTCGTTTATGTAAGTCCGCTCATTTATCCAAATACGGAATGTAAGATTACGTCATTTTTTTTGCATCCGGGTACCTTCATGCAGTGTTTTACAAGTCCCTTATTCTGTCTCAAAATTAACTTGCTTGTTGGTGGCGCTGTCCAGAATGAAAAAAATAATTAAAATAAGGAACTTGTGGCATGTCTACCTTCCCACATGAATGATGCATAATTTAACTCATAAAGAAATTATATATATATATATATATATGGCTGTTTACTTACGTTTACTTTTTAGCTGTTGCTTATCATTTTCGTATCTCTACTGAGATCCAGCCATTGTTTCCCACAGCATTGTTGTTTTCCAGTATTTTGCCTTTTAATCTATATATTTATATATATATATATCAACGAATGTAGTCCTAAAAATAAACAAATAAAGAAATGGTGTAAAAAAATGCCTCTGACAGGATTCAAACCTGCAACCTCTCACTGTCAAGGCGAGCATCATAACCTGGTTAAACAGATTCGAATCTGTCTCTTATACACATCTAGATGTGTATAAGAGACAGCCTAACATGGTCTGCATACAAGAATAATGTGCGAGAAATAGATCCACGAGTTGAAGATAGCTTCCTGCAGAAGGCTACTGAATTCCTGGTAGATTGTGGAGAGGTAAGTAATTAACTAGTTTGATGAAACTACAGCAGGTAAATGTAGGAGAATTGCGTATGGGCATGATCCGTGACTACCAAACTGCCGTAAAGAGGTGCTTAAGGTAGCTTCATGTTCACATTTGACAACCATAGCATCTTCAAAATGCACATGTGTGAGATGTGTAAACAGGATATCCATTTTAAGTCCTTATCCAAAAAGGCTTGACTACCAACTGAATCCTGGGAAAGGAGTGGCTCGAACCAGTGCTGATGTTAAGGCTGTAGTTAGCATTGCATTCTTGAAGGTCAAGTCTCCTGGAAATGGCCAGGTTTTCCACACTTCCTCTGAATCTGAAAACTAATCCATTTGTCACGAATTCAGAAAGTTTGTATGTACTGTATAAAGAAGTGGTATCTTCTATCCTAAATAAACAGCGGATTGAACAGTTAATTTAAAGTGAATGATGATGGTAAATATTGAGGATTAAATATATATTTTCATTACACATTGTATTACAAATAATATAACTATTTTAAAAAACTCATATACAGGTATAATCAATTTATAATAAACTTTGTTTTTGTAGATATACCTTGCTAGACTAGCAAATGATGATATCATGGTTGTGCTGAAACCTGACTGGTTATGTTCAAACATTTTTGGTCCAGCTTTTGCAAATGATACCATGTTTGTGAAGGATAGGAGTTTTTCACGTCTTGGACACAAGTCTGTCTACACTGTAACAGAACTCAACAAGCATTTCCAGAAAGTCACAGATGTACAGTTATTACTGCAGCTGCTGCAGCATCTTGGGCTGGGTTATGCATTCAACTGTGAGAAATTTGTGATTCCAAGCCTGCTTCCCAATGATATGCCGCCATGGGATAAAAGTCCAGTTTTCACCGAGTACTATGGACAACGAGTGAAATGTTCTGGAGATGTTGACATCTTTGCTGCTGGTTTCTTTCCAGGTCTTCAGGTTTGTCTGATGCAAGAGTTTGCCATTGAAGCTAATTTGTCAAGAGTGTCAAGGTACGCAGTCAAATTTACGTCAGGTGCTGAAGGAATGGTGCTGTTAACCGTTGAACGACATGCAGTTGATATCATTGTTCGCGGCAAGGGACAACAACAAAGAGGGCAGTGTTTTCAACTCCTAACAAAAGTGCTAAAATTAACTTACATTGAACTTCAGAAGAGATCACCAGGAACATGTGTGGTTACAGAGTACCTGAGTCCTCATGACCTCAGGAACCACATGATGCCAAGTGATGTATACTCATACACAGAAGAAGCCTTGATGCTTGCCGAACAAACTGATGGTTTACTTGTTAATAAATATTCAGTTTGTCAGGAGAAAGTCTCAGAGACGCTCTGCTCTGGCCATGATCCAAAATTCTTAATTATACTAAAGTGGAACTGTGATGTAAAATGGATGCTTGAGACTGTCAAAGAGAAGCTTGTTGATTTATTAGAACCAGTATCCTGTATTGGGCTAGATCATCGTGCACTTGCACAAGCTTTCAAGATATGTGAGCAGCATGTTCTACGTTTACAAGCCACACACCATTGTATGCAGGCAAGGACTATGAGTGTTACAGCAACCTTACTGGAAAAGTGGTCTGAAGGCAAACACGTAAGCACGTTTGGAGAACTTCACAAAATCTTTAAGGATCTTGGAAGAATAACTGGTCTTTGTGATTGGGGGAGAGAAGATGCAGTGACAGTCCTTGAGGAAATGTTTTTAACACTTGATGTTTTTGATGCAGTGTAGACAGGGGCTACCCTCTACTGCACCGCACTATTAACTAATATCATCTAACACATTACTATGGTGAACATGGACATTTGTCGAGTTTGAGTTATGATACTAGCAGGTATGGGAGACCTCAAATACGTATAAAAATACACAGTGCAAAGTAGAAGATAGGATTGGTTTGGGACTGAGAAATTTTTACCCCATTCTCTTTACTAACAGAATTGTCAATGATGGACAAAAAATGAGTTTTATCCACAGAGTTTTTGCATTTTGATTACATCTTTCCAAATTCAACACACTTTTCAGTGTATTAATATAAATGCAATAGTTGCAATATTTGTTTATTTTAAACTTTTATATTATTATAAATAATTACTGTGTATTGTAATTGCTATATTTATTTGTATTATCACAGTATCTTTAATATCATAATACAGTAATTACTAAATTGCCAGATCGGTAAAAGAGAAAGAACATGACAAAGATTATGGTTTGTGACATATACAATATTTAGTGTTAATTAGTAACAAGATTTTGAAAAAAAATTCTTTACTGTGTAAAAGATTATTATATTGAAGCAGAAAAATCCTCTAATTGTCCACATGACGCAGACGTGGACAAAAACCTGCTGAATAGGCCAACACCTTGGATATTTAAACTGTAGTGCCAAGCCCATTTGTTTTTTTTTCTAACTTCAGTTTTTCTTATTAATTACCTTGAAATTATTAATGTCTTCACAATCATGACATACTGACATATATATTGTACATTTTGATATTTCTAATTGTAAAATTAAAGGTAACACAATAATGATGAAGATGGCGAATGTGATAATAGCTATGACGAAAAAAAATGACGACGATAGTACTATAAATGTGATGAATAGGGCTATAGCAATATGTAAATATAAATGAATGGTTTATAAGCTTTACAGGGTCCGATTTTATTTCATAAGAATATTGAATAGTGCATTAAATTTGTATAAATAATAATGGACTGTAAACTGAATTGTATTCAAAAGTGGATATAATGCAAAATATACAATATGATCCAAAGTAAATCGTTGATTTTTGGATTATCAAACATCAACCAAAACTCAGGATTTTAAAAATGGAGTAAAAATCAATATCTGAATTCTTTACTTTAATTAAAGTAAAATTCTGAATACATTTGTAATTGAGTCTGTACCCAATAATTTCTGAAATACATTATAGTATCATCATTATCATCATCATCTGTATAAGTCACTGATGGATGTCTCTCTTAATAAGTAGTTATTTGCTCTCAGTTTAAGGATTTCAATCAGAATTAAATTAACAGATGCATAAATAATACTATTCCAGTTGAAAGTGGGGATTGTGTGATATAAGAAAGTTGGCATGCATGATCGCACTGTTTCTTGAACTTGACCAAAAAATTTGCTGAATTAGCTTTTATAACAATTTTATAGGAATTTCCATATTTATTTGAATAAAAAGAAACAAAGTATAGAAAATATATTTAATTAGTGTTGTCTATTGGAAAAATAAATATTTAGGTGCAGGTATATGTATTATTTTCTGTTTAATCAGAAAAAATGTGTAATTATGTGTACTTGAAAAGTATTTTTGTCAATAAAATTTATTTTATAACAGCTCTTTTGAGCAGCTTCATTGTTCAAGCAAACACTGTAGTGTATCAGGCCTAATTTATTTTAGTTTTTTGAGCAAAATACTGCTCTTTAATGGGGCTGACACATCATTATTTAAAATAACCAAATGAATATGTATGAACTTGACATGAAGTGCTAAGGACCTAATTAGTATATTAGAAGATATACAAAAAACACATTGTTCTTGATATTGTATCTGGAAATGAGACAAATCACGCTTTGGATCTATACATTTGTTACAAGAAATAACTACAATATATAGAAATTGCAGTGAAAATGCTACAAGACAGTTGAACTCTTTTAACAATTCTAAACTTTCGGATTTAAAAATAAGTTTGATAAATATAATAGAAGGTAAATTACCGAAACTGAGACGTTTGTCGATAAAAGGGTATCAGCATTAAAGGAGGTCTGTCTAGTTCAATTTAATTTATACGTCGTAGAGTTCTCAAATATATGCTTATTAATAGTATAAATAATAACTAGGCCCAAGGGCCCGATGGTATTTCTGTCAAAAATTAAATATTGTTGAAGCTCTAATCTGCCACACATTATTGCTAACTCATTAAATATTTGCTGCATATTGGGCAACTTGACGCAAATGACTTGGAACAACACTACCCTGGAAAAGTACATAATTCACTCTGGAAAATATTCTACATCATGGTATGTCACAGCACTTTATTGACGTCTTTGACGATACCAAAACTCAAGCTGTTGTTTGAAGACATTCTCAAGTACTACTGACTTCTTCGATATCTTGTGAGGAGTTTGACGTGGATGCATCTCATCACCGTTTCTAGTTGTGATAGTGATTGACATGGGCGTCGATCCGTTGTGAAAAATCAACAGTGGCAGATCCAGGAATTTGAAAGAGAGGTGAACGAGGGAGGGACTTTCACAGACCGAGGAGTAGACCACCTCAGCCCCACCATGGTTGGGGCTGAGGTAAGAAAATTTATGATTATGGCACCTAGTTCGCCTGAAATGGCACTCTCAGACCATGGAACAGTTAAATTAGTAGGCCTAATTTAACTGTTCTCTGCTCAGACTTAATTTGAATATAATTTTCTTTTTTCTCTACTTTCAATTTATCCTGGTAATCGTAATCATGCCCGCTTACATATTTCGTGCAAACTAACATTCATAAAAATAATGATTTATTATCTACTGAGTTGTGACGTATTCGAACCATGAAAAACAAATGATAAACCTCGTTCCTTCATGGAAAAACAGTCACTTCAATTCTGTAGTCCAGTGGTTCTCAACTATATCGTAATAGGGGCCAAAATTGTCCATGGAATACATTCGAAGGTCCAGGAAAAGCGGTGTACTGTGGCGTGTACCGCAATCGGAGCGCCGCAGGTGCGAGCAGAGGGAGGATTTGGGAGGGGGCGGCCCCCCTTCACGAATTAGAAATTGTTTGAAAAACATCTCGGCCTAAGAAAGTTACCCTAGTGTTTGGTAATGCAAAAGTTAAAATGTTATAGGCCTATATCACACAATGGGTCATCAGTGATATTTCTTTGCTGTTTGCTACGATAGTTTTTCTGATTTGATTGATTAAATCGCTACAATTTGTGGGCAATACATAGACCTAGTCGGCAAAACAGAATGAAATCTAGAAATCTAGGTCCAAGCCTAACGGAAACTATAATTCTTGGCTTGTTCTCGAGAACCAGAGATGACTGCAAGTCGCCAGTTGAGAACCCCTCTTTGCATGTACAGTACTTTCAAAATCAGATGGTGTCCGGTGGTTCATCAGACTCACTTCGCAGAAAAAATAAATAAATTTCTGTATATTTACAAAACTTTTCATTTTGTGCACCTTAGTCCAGCATTGTCAAAATCACAGTTTAATGTTATATATAAGAACATGAATATTCATAAAAATCGTAAATTTTGTTGGTCAGTTTTCATGAATCAAATTGCAGTTTTTAGAATGCAAAATTATTAAGGTTAGAAATAGTCTCTTTGTACGGTACATTTACAATCAATCAAATTTTTCCTTTCCTCCTCTTTTTGAATTTCACCTTTGTGCAATTAGAATTACGACTGCACTATTGTGAGTGGAAATACTGCCGTTTAACTTACGATCAAACAGGACTAAAGAGATTGGATGCACACAAAACATCAGTTAGCATTTTCATTTCACAAACATAAAAGGTGATTTACTTAAATAAGTTGAAATAGACAGACCTATCCGTGTCAAAGGCTGTATAAAATAATTGTTTAATAGATTTAGCCTCTGATAACCGTTGCACCCATAAAATCGATGGACTGGTTACTGAGATGGTTACGAAATGTACAAATAATTGCGTTTTTACTTAATATTGGTCTTAGTATATGCAAAAAAAAAAACAAAAAAACAAAAAAACTTGATCTAGAACAATTTAAATGTGTTCATATTAATGTGTGTGTGGTTCTCTCTAAGCGACCCTGAATGTGGAGGTATTCTTAATTTTTTTAGATCGACATATGAGATGCTATTTTGTCTAATCAAATAGATTTCTCTTTATTTTAATGATTCGAACTCTATGGTATTTTAGTGTGATCTTAATAGCAAAACAATGAATAATATGGCGTATAGCAAGCTTTACTCTCGTAAATAGAATTTAGAATCGTTTGGATTAACCTCTTTCATCTTTAATAAAGCCTAGAGGAAATAGAATTTGTGACAAAATTAGGCACTGTGTTTATAGTATGACTTAAGACACAACCAATAACTTCCCTATATGTACCAAGGGCTTTAGCTTTGCTCTAATTCTTGTGCGTATTTTTCATGTAAGCAGTTGTCTTGCTTCCTCAATTTAGAGTTCTCACAGAAATTTTAACAAATCCTTTATATGCTTGATGTTTTCATATGTTAGAATTTAGGTTCATTGTTAGAAATATACCTCTTGACAACATCATCAAAAACCTCATCGTCATCATCATTATCGTCTTCATGCAAAATTGTCATCAATCATTAGGGCTATCAAAGAATTATTCTAAAACCAAGAAACGGAAACAACAACACGTTCTACATGTAACACCAACTTTATTAAATAACGTCATAATATTATATTTATATTCCAAGCAAAAGATTTGACAAAGCTGTACAAAATATACATATAATACAAATTTTTAGTTGGCACCTCGAAATGCCGTTGAAAGAAAGTGATAAATACTGCATGGGTAAAAGAGGTTATAACTCATCATCATGCACGTGCTCGTCGCTTCATGTTTGCGCTGTGTTAACATCCTGACTTGTTAACGCATACAGTAGACCTTTCCGGAATGTCAAATTAACAACTGACCAATCAGAACAAGGCCGGGAATACGCACATGTCCCACTTTGTAGGTTTACGGTGTCATTTTGTGGGACCTTGAGCAATATCCAAGGGACAGGGCTTAGCGAACGTTCTATTAACCACGCCCATAAAGTGTACAACGTCATGAGTAAGTATAATTTTCTTTTGGATATTAATAGAAGATTAATATTGACAAAACTTGCACGTATATATATTTCAATAATATAGGCATAATTATTTTAAACACAAACAAGTATGATATCTTCATGGTTTGATTTTTTTTAAATAATATTCTTCACGAAAATTTGCTTTAACAAGGTACGACATAAATATACAGCCTTTCATAATTAAGTTAATAATAGCAAATGTCAGTCGCCTCTGTTCTTTAAGGCGACATCTATATCAAGTGTTATCAGGCGTTTCAAGTAAACAGTTTTATATTCTATTCTCGTACAGTAACCACAAATTAATCTGTAATTATGCTGTACTTTCGGTGGTTGATTCGAGGGAGAGGGTTTTCGTGGGCTGCAAATAAAACGGGCAAAAATTGCATTTATATAAATATACTTTATCATTTGAAAAACTTAGGAATGGAATGAAAAACGAGCGAGTTTTACCACTCATAGATAATGATTCATACGTTATGCATAATGTAGCTACAGAAGTTGTTCAACTATTGTATTTAAACAGTAACAAGTCAAATAAGAATCTTACGGCCCTCAACCTCTCCGATGTGACATCCAAGGGTGTGGGTGTGTTTTAAGATTTAATTATCAAATAAATAGCACGTTTAACCTTTACTTTTTTTTTTTTTTTTTTTTTAACCTTTTCTTTTTTTTTTTTTTTTTGTTTTTTTTTTTTTTTTTTTATAGTTTTTTTTTGCAAATTAATGAAAAACAACACGAGACTATGACCGTAAAAAAAATGTTACTCGTCCCTTTAGCACTTTTTTGTCTTCTCCTGTATTTCTACTTTCATGGGGCAATACCACCCATAGTGTCCTGTAGAAATGCATGATCAGTCATCTTTATAACGAGAATTCTTGGCTGTCTTAAAGTCTGTCCACACTATGCTTTATGTGACAAATTACCCATAACGGCATGATGATGTCATATCACGCCCACATTGACAGTGTGGACAGGGTTTAAGATATTGTGTTCTGGTCGTAGGCCTGTTGTGAAAATAATGAACAAGTGGGTGTGCATCTTCCTTCTCATTTTACACTCCACCTCTCTATCCTGGACGAGAAACATGGTCTTTTTTCTATTTGTGTTTGTAAATTAGCTAAGGATATTTTGAATATATATTTTCTGTAGCAATGAAAACAACAAACCCCAAAATATACATTATATGAAAATAAAACCTCATTAAATAAGTAGATACTACTTTTTGTAAAAACTTGATATGATGTTTTAGCCTTAAGTGTTGTACAATAATTATTATATTACAGTGCATGGATTGCCTACAATCTACGATCGCTTAACTATTACCTCAAAAATTGTTGCTCAACGCACGTTACTTTAAGAAACTCTCAGACACGTCGTTCTTGAAGTAACACAGCATCATCTGCTCCCACTACAATGTGAACTGCACACTGTAGAGTCAATTCAAGTGACGTAACACTTGAAGTTGTTTCACCACAAACAAGACCAATCCATTGTACGGTATACAAAACATGTTGGCTGAGACTGTTTTCATACTTTATGTACAATTGTGTTTGTTTTCTCTATAAGAAAAGCTGTACTTCTTACGTGGCCACGTGGTATATTGTTATCTAACATGGCGTTCTCGTACGTTTTGAAATCAGTGTTCTCGTACTTTGGTGCGCGTTCTATATGCAAGTGTCTTGCAGGTACACTTGCTCTCATGTCGTGTTTCCTGACTTTCATTCCTTTCAAATTAAGTTGACCCGGCTCGAAACATGACATGTGTCCGATAGGAGGGTTTGGTGCCCGTTTCTTCTTGGGTGATGTCAGCGATGGATCCAGTCTCGTCATTGAGTTAGTCCGCAAACTGTTCGCTTTTTCCATTTCAGAGACAGTAATATTTTTCGGTACTGGTTTTTCAGGCTGAGAATTGCGAATTTTTCGGCGATACACGAGTACGAATACTATAAGTCCGAATAGAATAACAGCAGCGATTGAAAACAAGACGGTGCATATAACCCATCCCTTAACCTTTCCACTGTGGTCGTTGGCTGAAATGGTGACGAAGTTCGATCTCGGACTCTTGTTACCTACATCATCAACTGCCAGGACCGTAAATGTGTATGCAAAATCCCCTGTAAAATGAAATTTGAACTCATCAATATTATTGTACAGTACAGTATTTTATGAAAGAATTTTTCACCGTATAAAAATTGGCACATAAATTTACAAAGAGTACAGATTGCTCTATTGTACTTGTTTGTAAAATCCTCTATTTTGTCGACTTGATTTTTTAGTTTATTTTTGGATTGATATTTAGATGATCTATGTTTGGCATTTTATATTCATTAGCTCTAAAAGGCAACTTTGAAGCCTCAATTTACATATTGTAGACCACTCATGGTGATTGTACTACTCATCGCCATCGTCAACTCTACTTTGTGTTACGGGTGCACTATACCTTGACTTCCATGAAATTCAGAAACAGCTGTAATTTTAACTTCCATGTACCCAATGAATGTGCGAGTTTTTGATAAGTCTGTAAGCATTGTGGTGATATAGTGACAGTTGAATGAGCATAATGCATTGGTTGAGTAACTTTTTTTCAAAAAGTCGCTCAAGTCTTTATCGTCGAATTTTGTTTGATTTTGACTTACTTCAGAATACATGAAACTACATTAACAATGGTTTTAGGATATGATTTTTTTTTTTGCTTTCTTGTTTTTAAGTGTATATATTCGCGAGCAAACCTTATCGTCAGAGTAGTTATGGACATGTTGGGGGTGGGGTGGGTGGAGGCATATGCCTATCATAAAATCTTTCAATGATACACTAATTGAAACAAATATGTTTTGCTGATTTATAGATCTTTTACTACAAAATTCATTAAGCTGATTACCATCTAAATCACTGGTGTAGTTAGAAATCAATGAAAATATTTGCTTATTCTCTTTTTAAGTGAAGGCAATAAACCTAATTAGAGAAAACTCAGGATACTTGAATACTGTATAAAAAGAATTCAATACAGAAAGTATATATTTTAAGTTGATTACTTTGTTACCGATATACCATGTGGTTAAATCGATCAATAACTTACCAACTTGTGGTACAATGATAGTGAATACTTCCTCCTGTCCAGCTTCGTTCGGTGATGATAGACTGCCTTCTTTGACCAGGTCTGGCGTGATAGCGATTACGTCAATATTGTCGTACAGGTTGTTGAAATTTGTGGAGTAGTATATACGATACTCTTTAGCTGTAAGGTTAAAAATACAATATGCAACATGAAATAAAATAGAAACATAACTACTTCTTAATTATTCATTTTATTGCATGTTTCACTTCCTAATCAAGCTCATAAGACAATACTTTATAACAAGCTAATACAAACATGGTGTCTATCCATTCTATATAACAGCTGATAATGAGTTATTTAATTATACACACAGGACGTAATATATATCAGATGGAAATGACTAACCTCGTCCATTCATGAGATCATCCCCAGGTGCCTTGAACTTCAGTTCCACCTCCTTCTTACTGTAGCTCAGCAGACTCACCCGTAGGTCAGTTACTCGGGCAGGTGGATAGTGGTCCTCATCGCCTAAAAAATGGTGAGAGGATGTTAACATCGTTACTCGTAGTCTATAATAATATGAGGCTATAATATAGCCCTAAATTTATAGAAATGTTATTAATATTAAAAATAATTATTATTTATTATCATTGTCATCATCATTGTCATTGTCATCATTATCCTGATCGTTATCTTTTATTTTTTAATGTCAAAATAATAATTATAAATGCCTATTATATAAAACGTTAGCGATTTAAGCTTGACAATTACAGTTTGTGTTTTTTGCTAGGCCACATAATAATAGAAAAAGCCAATGCCAGGAAGCTGATGAGTTTAGTCAGCGTCAAATGGCTCTTTAGAACCCGTACAGGCTGATGAGTTCAGTCAACGTCATGCTCTTTAGAACCCGTACAGGCAAGTACCAGTAGCGGCATGCCTACAGCTATTAGACGTGTGCTACAGGAAAACCCCACGCATAGCCCTATCTCTCTTTAGCCCTTATGCAACTTTTTGATCAAAGGTATATAATAATGTGGTGATTACAGGATTGTCTCAGTTAAAAAAAAAACGCATTTTATAGGTTACAATGTGAAAAGGGTCTAAAAACGAAACATCGAATTAACTTTTTTTCCACTCTTTTATTCCAGGTCATAATTGCATTTTTTTAAATGACGTCAGACGTCATAACCTTGATTATCTACAATCCATACATACATGCAAAAATAAATTACTGTATTAATTATTATTTTTCATTATCGTAGTTAAAGTTTTTGAATTGGACTCGATCATCTTTTAATTGCGTTAACTATCGCAATGACTAACGGAGTTTTGTACAGCGTATCAAGGTTTCGCGTATGTCGAGTCAACCGTGAAGAGATAGAAAATGAAAAGGAAAACTAAATGATATTCACTTCCATATGATACGATTCCACATCGAATAGGTAAACACCGCGCACAGCCCAGGGGTAATGACACTTGTTTAAACATTGTAGCCTATTACTTTCGATTACCCCTGTCTACTGAATGACAAACATTATCAAGGCATATATGCTTAATGTTTATTTACAATGTCTCGCGCAGTATGACCTAATAAGGTATTATAATGCAAATGTCGTCATATCTGATTGTTAAGTCATGTTATAAACAAAGGAAACAGTTCTATTAGAGTTTGTAGCTACGATTTTAAGTAATAATTGCTTTTTCTATAAAATCAAAATATTGTAATGATATATCAACTTCGAATTAGACAACAATTAAAACAATGGACCTTTCCGTAGTGTTATTCAATTTAACAACAGAGTCTAATCATAAAATTGCTAAGAATACGCGAATACGCACAAACACACGTGTGTCCGACAAACGCACACGTGTTTAAGGACATTTACGATTTTTGTGGGATATGAGCAACAGTATCCAGGGGGCGGGGCTTAGCGAAAGGTCCACTAAGCTCAACTGACTTATATTGACGTCTTACTACGAAAAACCTTAAATTGATTTCGAGCCAATCTAAGCATCTATAGATGTGTATAAGAGACAGTATATATATTTATATATATATATATATCAAATTATATATATATATATCAAATTATATATAATTGTATTTCTTTTAAACTGAAACCATGAAAATTATTAATGATATTACGTAAGAACCAGCTACATAATTTAGATTTAACCTATTCACAATTATCTGCACTAAAAAATATTTATAAAAAAAAGTCAAACTTACTGGTGCATGCTCCAGTACAGGTGAAACTACCTCCATTAGCCACCCTCTGAAATGGACCGGTCTCTTCTTCACTTCGTCGCGTCTGTGTGCTCTCGGCGTTTTCTTCGTATAAGGGATCGGGAAGTGCAGACTTTGCTGAGCCCAGCGTTTTACCATGAGCTATCAACGTTACACCTGCCTTATTTGTAATTTTCACCTAAAAATTAAAATGCATATCAATGAGTGTATGAGTTTTAGATTAATTAATAATATTAAGTAGTATTACATTAGTAGTATTAAAACTATTTTAATTGTAATAATATTATTATTCTGATTAATATAGGCTCAATAATATTAATATTCTGATTAATATAGGCTCATTAATATAAGATATAATATAATTTAATTTTTTATAATTCATGGTCCTACCTTTTTTTCGGCGCCTTGAGACGATTTTATTGTGGAAGGCGCACTACAAATATCCCACCATTACCATTACCATTAGTTTATGATAGTTGTCACTAAATATTAATTTATTTATTCATGTTTTTTATTTAAATAATTTTCTGTATCAGTCATACCCTTATTTCACAACATGAACTATGTAATTTTAGGTTAAATGCAATCTAAATGTAACTTAAACAATGTGACACGGTGCCTTGTACGCAACACTACGTGCCTTATCATGGATAAGTTAATACATCGTAGTAAACCGTTACATCCTACCGCAGTCATCTAACATTGGTTTTCACTAGTACTACGTATTTGCTTTCATATTCCACCCAGACCTATTCCTATATCACAGTTATTGAATTTTCATTTTCTAAAATGTATGACTGTATCAAAAGCCGGAAATAAAAATATGTATGTGTTTCAGAAGTTTCTTTGAACTTATTGATATTACAAGCATAACTAGTGTAGTTACTCCATAGAGTGCATACCTCGGCCCTGTGCCTAATTACCGAACAATACGCAGGCCGGTTATGGGCAATTCCATTATTTTCTTTCATGCTCAAAACTTATTCAGCTCTGTCTTAGATTCCTTTCTAAATTTTATGATAACCCATTTCTTAGTTTTTGCGTAATATTGCTAACAGAAAGACTGCGGTGAATACATAATCTCCCTTGTTTGAGGTACGAGGTACAGTAATAACAAAAAAAAATGGCGCGGTGCAATGCACTGCCTGTCGAGAATACATACGTACACGTGCACAAAAACCACTGGTTAAATTGGCATTAGTATCTAAAACCGTTACTAATCTAAAAATTAGTATCATAACCGTTTGCAGGGTTGATGCTCAACTGATAAGTTACCTTAACATTGTATCTGCCTTCGGCGACAAAGTTTGTAAAGTAGCCTGAATAAATGCCGTCATTTCTGTTGACATCGGCCCCCGTGCCGTCATCCGATAGAACCGGAGCGTCAGTTGTGTTGCCGGCGATTTCAACCTCGGCAATCACTTCGGCGTTTATGATTGGTGTATATCCTGGAAAATCATGGTAACATAAACTAAAATTAGAGGCCAACATAGCACATGTTTGGAAGTTCCGTTTGTGTCCTAACATTATTTTATATTTGAAACTTCTTGCCATAGTTTCCATGGAGATTATGACACCGTCGTTTAACATAGTTTGTATACCGTAGGATATTAGAGATTAAACAACGACTATCGGTTAGTTAGCACATCAGAACAGGATATAAAGTAGACAGTATAAAGAAAGATTTAAAAAAAAAATAAGTAGATTAGTAGGGCACAAGATTTAGAAACTGGAAGTGCGAGGATTACAAACGTGGGTGCAAACCCGTTTGGTTTGGGTTAGTGCACGTGACTCTGACCAGGTCATGACACGAGTTTTATTTTAAAATATTCGAAAAGTATCAATACGTCAATGCAACACTGAGAATGAATTAATCGGTGTGTAACCACAATGTTATCAGTCATTCTAAGGAAGTCTGTATAAATACATTGACCTCTTACAATTTATGAATATGGATACATTCACCTCATGCATATTTATGAGTAGGCCTATTTAAGTATATGAATGTTTAAGTATGCATAATAATATTTATCCATTTAAAACAGTAGACCTAAAACTGTAAACCACTAAACAACATTCTTAACGAAGTCAAACTCGCCAAACCATCTTCAATGCAGTTACTCATCTCATTAAATAATTATATATATTTTGTTGGAATTGAATAAAAATCAATTAATATCAGTGAAAAGCGTGAAACACTTTCATTACTTATTATTCCCTTGAATTTTTAAACGAGGTAATTTTGTAATATGATTGATTGAAACCGCTATTACCTTGTCACTGCTATAGCTTTATTAATGAGATGTTTACTGCAGTGAACTCAGTGACTAAGCTGTAGCTTGGCTAGGATGTGATCAAGTTAAGATCGCTGTTGGTAACCATTTGTTATCTGATGATGAATCACCCGTAGTAATTGTATGAACTAAATTAGGTTGGTAAAAGTATTACTTGTATGTACATTAATGGGCCATTAAAATGAGCCAACAAAGCTCATTAAGGAGTTATTGCAGATTCAATGAAATACAAATCCTTGTTTCTTCAGTTATGCCTATAGTGAACCTTATAAAATGGATTTAAACCGATTCCACCCCACCCCCTCCCCCAAATTTTTTCAATATTATAAAACAAAATTGGAGAAAAAAGGAAAATTATAATTAAATTTAGTTCCATAATCATGCATTTTTCACCATGGTGGGGAAAAGGTGGTCCTCCAGACCCTCCGTCCGTGGAAGTCCCTCCCTGGGCCCCCTCTATTTCGAATTCCTGGATCCGCCACTGCCAACTCACTGAAGTTTGCACGTATACGACTACCAACACTATAATATAGGTCATGAACTTTTGCAACCTCAATATTCGCCCACATCGACCTTAATATTAATCTACAGTCTGATTATGGTTTACCTTTAGAGACGTACACGTACAGCACCTGTCGTTCCGGGGGAGTTACCGCCATCCTGCTCCATGAGGCTGTGGCGATGATTGGTTCCTCACTGGTACTAGAAAACGACTGGATCGTAACAGTTATTTTGCTCACTTGTTGGCCATAGTTACGGATCCTAAACCTCCAGTTCCCAGTCTGTAGTTATGCAAAGAACAACATTGTTTTATGGCTATGATCGCTACAATATTTTTACTCCCGTTACATGTCACTATTGTTAGGCTTTGAAGATTACCTTAAGGTTTTACTTTGATTTGCGAGGAAGTTATGGATTTTAATTTTAATGGATTGTGGTAAATGGACTAAGTCCGAGATTGTACAGCATTTCAAATCAGCGACAATCCTCTTGTCTAAATATATTATTATTTATTCAGCGTGCATCTCGAAGTAAGCCTAGATATTGTGAATTTCGATGAGATTGGTATGTGGTTTGATGGTTGATGTCATTCTTTAATACCAAGGATATCATTCTAATCTGCTGAGAATTTCTGTTAAATATGTTAATAAATAAGTTATTATAAATATGATTATGGTATAGATGATACTTGGAAATGTAAATAGATTCTGCTCGCGCACATGAAGGCAATGGCGAAGGAAATATACAGGAAGGCACTGATGCATTGGCACAATTATTGTATGAATGAAAAAACTCCAAGAATGGGACTTTTTCACAGAAGATATTGGTTATTTAATTTCAACTCCTGTCAAACAAAGTCGTCTTGACAGCGCATTCCTTTTATTATTATACCATTTTATGTAATATTTTTGCAGGTTAAATGGCTATATATTATTTCAATATTTAACATAACATAAAAATGTCAAGCATTGACTACATTACACGCAAAATATTATCTAAATTTTATGTATGAAATTTTAACAGTAAATTAAAATATGAATCTGAAAAACTTGTTTCATTTCAGATAATACCTATAGGCATATGTAGCTTTGATATTGTAGTCTGTAAATAAGACACTGACACGCTTAGTAGCTCGTGCTTACATTATTGTTATTACACATAAAGGGGACTAAGCGGTGTGCACTTGTTATAGGTACTATACCCTATGACTAATACGCATGAGTTCAGCGAGAAATTATTAAATATAATAGTAAAAGTCACTTGTTAGTGAACATTCATCATTTTTTTCGTGAGATGATGACGAATTATTACGAATCGCTAACGCGAAGGCTGACAGTACCAGGCATCGAGGGTAGCGTTATGTTACTTTATTGTTAAAATGCTTAATCATCAATACAGCCTAGAGGAAAATAATCTTCTTCGACATTCGATATTTTGCTCTACACAAGACCTACCATCGGCATAGATATAAAACTAACTCAAGCCTCTTCATCATCATCATCATCATCATCATAATATAATAATGCTATAATCAAAACTATTAAAGAAAACTGTGCCGTAAGGGAATTGTCTTTATGTACCTGAACGGGGCTGGGGACTTTGACACGAAGAACTCCGAACACACTGTCGGGAGTATCCGTAACCTCAGTGCCATCTGGTTGGATGACGACAATTGATAATTGCGAGTAAGGATCAAATCCAAAGATGAATTCAGCATTCCTGTTAATGGTTCTATCGACTTGTACTTCGCGAACAACTGTATCACCTCCAAATACTGTGATTACGTCACTGAATAAATAGATGGGTCTGTTTTGAATGGCTATAAATAAATAAAGTACATATTATTACAGAATGCTCGAAATATTGGAATGAATTGTAATATAGATTTAAATAATATCAAGTAAAAGACTTTAAAAAAAAGGTCGAAAAATATTTAACGAAACGAGTGTGGTCAGTAATTTTTCAGGAAACTCATGTCTTTGATAAATTGTCTTTTCTGAAGGGTGCGGTTGTCATAGATACAGATATACTTGATTGTCATTTGTTTGTATTACTGACCCACATGCCAGAATTGAAATTCAAACGTTATACAATTATTTTATTCAACAACTTTAAATTGAATATGAGTATTTATTTGTTGGGCCTATTATACCTTTGTTTTTGTTGAAGCTTGTGCCAAATGCTTCGTTCAGAGTATTGGTCCCTGTTGTGTGATAAAACGTCATGCCATTAGTGAGGTTCGCGAGTACCTCTAAGTTCGGTGAAGCTGTCGGCCCAATAGCAACGGTGTTGATGTGGATATTCTTGGTAGCTATCTGCAATTTTAATCAATAATAAATATTTGTGATATAAATAAACATTCAGTAATATTAGTTCAGTCTTGGTTTATTAAGTTATCACAGAGTGAAACTAACTCGGTGTAGACCCATACACAAATAGGTCAGAGGAGTTGAAGAATAATTGAACTATTCCCTTCGACACAACTCCACGTGCTTACGATATTCTGAATCTCTAAAGAAACCCAGTGATTGGCAGGAGTACGGAAATGGCGCGTTATGAACTTGAAGAAAAAACGGGAAATTAAATTTACACAAAAACAAGCAATGAAATGTGACTTCGTCCGTCAGCTTGAAAGCAAAATATTAAAATAAAACGTATCCTTAACGACCTCTCACCTTGTCCTGGAGGTCCTCGATGAGTGGACGAATATTCTCGGCACCATCAGAGATCACAAGTAAATTTCCAGTATCTTTCGAATCCTCATTAAGGCTTATGCCTAGAACATCAAACGCGCGTAGAATACCTGCGTCAGAAAAACACATAGAACCATTTGTCACGAGTTCTCCACACGAGGAATCAATCAAATGGCAACTGTTGCTTACTAAACACCACTCACTATTGTATCGGTTTCTTTTGGACAATTATTATGTCAACAATTATTGTGTCAACAGTTATTTTCGTAATTATTTAGAATATTTACAAATAATTGAAACAGATCCTGTTTATTACGAATGGAGACAATGTTTCCTAACGTAACAACTTACAGGAATAATACGATTTTAAATACAAAAATACATAAATAAATCAATAAATCTATAAACAAAAATAATAAAAGGCCCAACAATAAAAAAAAAATAACAAATAGTGAAATAATAACAATAATAATAATAATAATAGGCCTATGTCTAAAAAAATTAGGGTAGGGCCTATGTTTATAAAAACCTAGAAATAGGTAGTAAGAACGAATTTGTGTGAAAATGAAAATACATTTAGAATAATGAGTATGTATTACGCATTGTTATTTCATTATTAATTATTTATGCTTTACTTAGTTGTGACAACCATCAATCAATAATATAAATTACCAATATTTTTAAAAACATGATATTATTATTATTACCTGCACCAACCGACGTACCACCGGACGCGTCTGTTGGTAGTTTAGTGACAAGTGACTTTCTTGTTTGCTGGTTGATTGTCACCAATCGGGATTTTATAGTTGCTTCACGACTGAAAGTTACAATTCCAATCTGTTCGCCATCTTCTGCTGTACTAGATATCAAATTGCTTGCAGCCTATATGGTTAATAATTAATCAAATAATTACATTAATATCAGATCATCATGCAGCCTTATTGACTGATATTAATGATTGCCTGATTTGAGATAATCAACTTGAACAATAAATCCAACATTAATTGAATTGCTTAATTATTTTATTTTTATATTTCCTTTTTTAACTTTCAAAGTCTTTATTTTATCTACTTAAATGTATTTTTGTAAAATTTTATCTGTGAATTTATGTACTTCTATTTTTATTGTATTTTTGAAATAATGCCAAATAAATTCAGTTAAATTCAATTTTCCTCTCCAATTAGCAGGCAAATGAATATATACCGTGTATTTTGTAAGGAACCTTAAATTGGCTGGTAAACAAATTCAGGATTTACGAAGAGAAAAGATTGTAAATCAATCAACAAAAACTGATTTTTTTTTCGAAATGCATTTTAATTAAAGTTGATAACGTACTACACCCTTTTTAAAAAGAGGGATTTCATATTTTTATTATATATATATACATATATATACACATATATATACATATATTATCTGAGCCTCACATTAGAGTATAGGAGTATAGCGTGAAGGCACTGATGTTACTGCGAATGAGACAAAGCAGAGTTTGCAAACATTTTAGAAGGTTTTTAGATTGGATGTTTTCAAATATTGTGTATTTGAAGGTTTCCTAGAATTCATTACAAACTTCTGTTTAATGAAACTTATCGTAGTACGGTACATCTCAATGTGTTTTCACATATACTAGAGGCTGTTTGTAGCCTTGTAACTAATTGGCAAATATTAATATTAAATATTATACACGTATAATTGTTTAATAAGGACTTGTTTCACATTGAACATACGGCACATGACTCGCCAATAACAGGATGGAACAATGCTTTCTATGATTTATGAAGATTGTGTTTTAATATTCGAAAGAATATAAAACAACGTAATGATTTTACTGTTTTGCATTGAAAAAATCTAAATATCAGTTATTTTTAATTCTTGTGTTTTTGTTCAATTGTAAATATCGTTCATACAGTGGTGTAAACTGTTATTTTCTTTGCCATGTGGTGAAACATCTCTCATGTCCAATGGTTGTCTACTTCCTAATTAGATCATCTAGGACCAAAACCAGTTCCATATTAAACATCCTCTGCTTAGAGTAATCTCTATCGAATAGTTTTTGTCACAACCCATCAGCATAAGTATTTCTTCCCGTCCATTGGTTGAACTTGTAGACTGTCATGTTTAAAGAGGCCAGTGCCTACTTGTTAACGATCAACATCATTTTTTCGACCAATGGCTAATGACTATAATAAGAGTCTCTACCCTATTTTTGACAGTTGTAAACATTTTTTCATGCCCTTGATGTGACGACAATACTTTAGTTCTATTAATGGTTGATGATTCCCTAGAACTATTTTCAGGATCCCTGTTCTGGGTTCAAAATAGACGGGTTTCTGGGTTTCAAAATTAACGGCAAATTCATCTTACTGGTAGACTTTTTTTATTAATCCGCTTCCTTACCTAATCACCCAGTAGAAGTTTTATTTATTTTTACAGACAATGAAACATAAAACTTGCTAAGACTGATAATTCAAAAAAAAAAAAAAAAAAAAAAAAAAAATCTGTTTGTAACAAACGTAGATCAGATGTGTTTTGTCCACATTTAGTTCACTGTCAATTTCCATCTTTAACCGCCTGACTGATTACAATAAATAAACAATGAATATAAACAAGGATATACTATTTTTATGCAATCCTATAGCATTCTAAAGTAGGGTTGCCAGTCATGTAGGCATGGGTGGATTAGATACCCATTAGTAATGCATAATTATTTTGTTCCAATTTCTCTTTAAAGTTTACTGTTCAGACTGTGGTACATTGTATAACGTTTCTGTTTACTTGATAGATGACTCACCCACTAAGAATCTATGCTTATATTATATGTTCAGTTGAAAGATATATTTAATGACTTAGTTTACCGAACTTAATCTGTGGCATTAAAGTTAAGAACGTGTCCATTATCCTCGTGGAACTGAAGAGGTGAGGCAAAGGCTAATTCAGCCACACGATACTATAATGCGGCGCCGGGAAGAGAAGAATTATTTAGTTGACCAAAAAATGGACTTACAAATTAGTGTTTAATTCCAGTATCTTGATGTATAATGTTTGGTAATACGTGAATAAATTGGTAGTCTTAAGTCTATTTTTGATTGTATTTGTGTATTTGGTATACCAAGGCTGATAGTGTTTCCTGTAGCAACATTTTTGAGATTGTATGCAATCCAATACATCATTTTGTTTCTTCCTTTTATTAACAATTCAACGTTCACTGTTCTAATACATAAAATTACTATAAAATAAATTGTTGACTCACACTCCCAAATGAATAAGAATACAAAGGAAATCATTTTCCTATTGTTAAATCTATAAATCTAAAATGTTCGACATAATTATTCCTCCCTTGTGCATTACTCTCCCGTTTTTCACTCACACATCATTTAAAGCTTGATGTTATAAATGTGTTATTGAATGTCCTTTTTGTTAAAAGTTGGTGAATACAAGCACACATTCGTGCCAGAGGGCACGATGCAATTTATGTCATTTAATTTAGGTCTACTACCAAAGGCTAAAATTACAATAATGTGCTCAATGTGTACAGTTGGAGGTGACAGTTGTCTTTAATTTCTGGATAAAGTTTAACTTGATTTTATTTAATTTGAATCCACCGCTGTCTTCAAACCTTACACGAATTGTCTTTGTCACCTTTTCCTCTAATTATTTTGTTCTTTCTTTTCTACAGAGGTCTACACAGTTCATTAATTTTAGATAATGATTAAAGGCAATATAAAACCATATGTGCTTGATGCATTGCAATGGTTTTCAGTTATCTGTAAGATGACCAAGCAAATTTGTAAAGAAAAATGTGTTGTTTTTTTTTCTGTATGTTTGAACTTTGAACGTACGTTGACGTTAAATTGTTGCCGCAGCTGGTGATGGTGAGTCGGCAACGCAATTATGACGTCAATTGACACCTGTTCATATTCTAACAAAATTGCACACCTGTAGAGTGTTTAGCTTAAACTGATAACGCACATTTATGTTGTTACAATATGCCTACTGCTTACCTGTCTAAGTTGAATCAGGGGTTCACCTTTCATGCTCGCCGATACATCCAATACTATAACTGTTCGTTTAGTTTGTTGATGGATAATTTTAAAGGTTGGATTTTCCGGCAGTCCAGTTATATCAAGCGAAGGATTTAAACCATTTGCAAAATCAAAATGTTCTTTCATTACCTGCGGATCAAAAATACCGAAAGTCATATATCGTGATTGTTAATAAAGTAAGTTCATTAAATAAAGTTCCCAAAACTTAAGGTTCGCGATATTGTCAAAACGAGAACGTACAGTATTATGTTGTATATAATAATTACGGCTAAATAGGCCACGTGGAAGGTAATAATATACGACATTCGTGCCAAATTTTCTAGATAGGTTTGCATATACGCCCAATATACAGTCACAATTGGGACAAAGTTGACAAAAGTTCACCTGATGGGTCTAACCAGGGAACAGTGAAATTCCACTGTTCCCTGGTCTAACTAAGCGTCGTGGCCAGTAGTTATCCGGATGCCGGGGTTGCCAAGAATCCGGGAAGAGTTTTTATAAATAACAAGATACTGATGAAGACAGTTTTCATTTCAGTGTAATAAAAAAAAAGCCGCAAAATGTGTACGCGTCCGTTGTGTTGCCATAAGGAAAAACGCATAGAATGCGCATTCTGTAATTATTCATATTTTACATACTAATAAATCAACAGATTATGATTGGATTTGACCTACTAAATAGTATTAGTTCACTGTAACATGACTCATACTTTCTCTATTGAATAACGATACAATCTAGGACCCGAGGTTTACATGAATAATTGATTGACACAATGACTTTCCCTTTAAATTTACTTTAATTTAACGCCCAATTTTAACTCTTAATTTACTGAACTGTGTTCGATTGGATTGCAAATTATTCCAAGGAAATGTGAAATTATTGTAACATCTGATGTTCGCCTTTTGAATTATTTTTTTAGTACAAGTTCAGATCACAGACTAATCTTTAGGAACTGTCTACTAAATACAAGGTTTGGACTTTCATTTTATGTTCTTCCTAACTTATAATCCTCTATTACGATACATACCCAACCATGTGATTTTATGCAGGATTTAGGTTATATCTACTTGCTAAATTGACTTTTATCTGGCCTATATTTTACTATAGGCCTATTATGCTTTATATTAGTACTTTGAAACGTGGTGTATGTGCAACATAACGTGGAATCACATAACGTTTATATGACGATGATGGTGGTCATGGTGATGATTATAGTGATGAAACATATTCGAAGCGATGATCATGTTAATGGTATCAAAGTTATTAATATTAGTTTACCTCCCAGATACTCTTTCCTCCACACTGCTGGTTATGTTTATTGGGCGCTTGACGATTATGCAAATTACCCTTCCAGCCACCTGAGTGATCGTTGTCACAAAAAGTTGTCACCTATGAACAAACCAAACGAAGTGAATAAGTGGGGAGTCATTTAATGGTTACAAAAGCAACAGGATCTGTAAATTCGGGTCTGGTAAATGTATATAATACAAAATGTTATAATTAACCGGATGTACCGAATTTCTATCTTTAAGGTATGCTTGTAGTGCGCCGTCACTAATCATGTTTTATCGACTGAATTATACGCTGTATAGTGAACTTATTTTTTGCCACTAACGACTGATGATAGAGAAGGTAAGAGCTAATGCACCACAGAAAATATACTTACCAGCCAAACAGCTACAGTATATGCAATCACAATTTTAAGAGAAATTATAAACCACGATCGATGACCACAGTTCGCGTGGAAGCACGTGGAAACACGTTACATGGAACGCCAAATTTACACTGGGATCCCAAATTTAATATCGGATGATGATTCAAGGGATACAATCAATAATTAGATAGGGTAAGTGTATCTATATATCACAGATCCTCAAGCAATTTACGAGTGGATGTAACTACTCTAGCTTAATTATACATTTAATGGTGGAAGGGTGTGATTTCCTCTACTGTATTACAGTACAAGTCATGGCAACATGTGCCTAGGTAGAGAGTTAAAATAACAGTTAGCTGTTTACCTTTGGAAGGTACTGTTTGTACATGATAGATCCAGCGAAGTCGTTAGATTCGCGGTTGTCGAAAAACCTGCAGTCTTTTAATGGGAGACCATCTGATCCGTACTCACATGGTCCACTTGTGTGTGGGTTTCTTAGTGAACCTGTGTTTTGAGAAGAAGTTTACATACAACAAATGTGTCATTCCAACAACGCATAATATATTGTCTGGGCAAAGTTTATATCATATATGATTGAGAGAAAACTTGTTTTCATTATCTTTTAATTTTTATTGAAATTTTAAATATCCTAATTTTTGTGTAATCTGTTGTATGTACAGTGGTTGCTTACACATTATGTTACGGTGCATTGTAGCTGCCGCAAGCCCTGGACCGCTTGGTGTCAAATAATTAAATGAAATTAAATGAAATAACTGAGTATTTTAAGAAAAAAATAATCGATATCAAATATGAATACAGTATGTATAAAAAAAAAACTAAATATATGTATGACTGATACTTTAGTAAATCATTTCATAAAATCAATATTTAATTTTTTTTCTGAAGTACTTGAGAAAAACAATACCCCCAAAAACATCCAATCCAGCCAATCGATAATCATATCCTAATGAGCATTACAAATTTTCGGCCAAGGTTATACACCATACATTATGATTCACCTGCTGAACGTCGCAGTAGTTGAGTCATCGTCTTACCTGGAATATTGAGAACACACCGAACAGCCTCTGCCTGGCCATCCGAATTGATGTAAAACTGTGGCATATCATCCTCTGCATACTCATCGAATACGCCCCATCGGTAATGCGCCCACTCGTGTACGAACTAGAAAGACATTTTTTTCTCAATAACTTATTCAAACTACGTACATTATCTATTTAATGGATTCGTTGCTGCATGGTTAATATAAGTGTATAATTAGGAGTTCTTCAAATAAATTTAGCCAGTGCTGGAGCCCCGGGACATTCATCCGCATTTTCCCCCCATCGGCCTAGCACGCCTTTTAAGGAAAAAAACGTTTAAAAAACATCAAATTACGAACTTAAACCGAAACGGAACCATATTAGGCTATACCCGGACCCAGCCCCAGGGTAGTGAAGCTCGAGAAAGCTTTAGCTACTTAATTACGCCAATGATAATTAGGGTAAAACTGCTGAATTTCAGATGTATATCAATCAATTTGTGTACGATGGCAGTAATTTGTTTTTGAGAATTTGAAGCTGAAATAGTCTAGAAACCATGAAAAGCACAGATTATGGCCTTCGGTATTAGGAAACATAACTGTCCCCGAGGAAAGTATTTACAATCTGATCTATTAATAAACTGTTATTATTAATGAATTGTAGAGTATCGTTAAGAGCAATGAAATTAAATTATGTACAAATATGTTTCATGTCATTCATATCTTTATGCGTATCCTGCTCGATGTCTCCGCATAGATTGCAAGCTTCTTCAGTGAAATTCATATAAATTAAAAATCTATCCCCCCTTCAGTGAAATTCATATAAATTAAAAATCTACCCCCCCCCCACCCTCGGTTTTAAACACTGTCCGCCCATGTCAACTTGGATTAGATTCCTTCTGTGTAAAATACACCAATGGTGGACCAGTAAGTCTGAAGTATTATTTCCAGTTGTGTTTTTCTGATGGTGAATCGGGGAGTAATACACCGCCGAGAGGCAATATGCCGCTCGCTCCATTCCGTGTAGGCCTATAGCGTTGATTGCATGGACTTAAAGCCTGTTTTCTACCAGACGAATTTTCGGATCCTGAGCTCTGATAGGTTACGCACTTTTTTTCGCTTCGCTAAAAGTAGAAACAGTAATTCGAACTACCGATTTCGCTGAAGCGAAAACTCCGATAGAAATGTGAAAACAGGTTTTACGTCTCTTCGGAGAAACGGTACGGAGAGCAGTGGTGGATTTGAACGACTCAGCGCAGTTCACCCAACTGAACTAAGCTCAGCTCTCAAGCAGCACATCCGTGTTTGTATTGGTTTCGTTGCATATAAAGTAAAACATAGGACATTGCCAAAAATATAAATTAATTGAGATCGTTGTCGGTGTAAGTTTCAATAGTAGTAACACTTAGCAAACCAACACATCTGCCAACTCATTGACGGCATGCACAATAAGCAGTAGAATTAAGTTTTTACTCCAGGTGATCGAACATCAATGGTAGTATTCCAAAATTCATCTTGTCTTGATTACAGTCAACCGCAACGAATTACTGAATTCAGTCAGAAATATTTAACAGTAACTGAATACATATGTGACGAATTGTTCAATGCAATGTGTGGTTACGTGAGCATAATTTAAAAAACAAAAAAAACAAAAAAAAAACAAAAACCTTAAGCATCTCTATAGCTAATGAAAAAATAAGCTATATTTTTTAATGACTTAGGATTATAATAAATGACCATCTAGGATTAAGGAATAGATTACATGGGATTAGGATTATAGATTACTTTCGAATAAGCATAGAAAACGGAGTTGTTTAAGCTAATGTCCGGGTTATTCAAAAGTCACGGTTTTATTATGTTGGCAAGCATCACTGTGCTGGGCTTGCTGTGGTTTGTTTTTAACTATTGCGTTGTTGTTATTTAAATATGCGAATTTTTATATTTAAATAAACTATTAACTGTCAACTTAAAAAGATAGAATGGAAAGTATTCCATTGGCAATTAACAGAAGCATTGATATTAGCCTACCGTTTTTAGTTTACTTTAGCACAGGCACTATATTAGTTAAATTTCCCTGTTCTAACTAAAGTCGCTAAATTAGCGAAAATCTTCGAAATTCTTTCGATCGGTGTCTCATTTGAAGATACAGTATAACGACTTCATCATGTTAATAATAATTCAATGTTTGAATTTAAGTTGTATGCGTTTCCAAATTTCACCACTGCAGACAGTGGTAAAGAGATAAATTGACATTTCACAAAATAAATTAAAGTCAGGAATAAAGTTAGATGGTATCATATAATATGGAGCAGGGTCATAGTTATTGCAAGATGGGTTCAGTACTAAAAAAGACGAGAGCAATGGAGGGGTGAAACGCCAAAAACAAGCATACTTTAAGAAGATAAGTAACATTAAGCTGATATATGCAACTTGTTTCCGACATGTTTTGCTTATCAGACACTAACACCCTTCGGAGCAAGAAGAGGCTCCAGAGGACTAGATTCTTGACAGTGAACATGAAATGGGTTCGGAAATTAACCAATGATGATCAAGATTTTGAATATTTTACCCAAAGGAGGCAGAGGATCGAATGATATGTGAACAGTATGTTCCGTATGCCGCAAGGAGGAAAGCATCAATGAAAACAATTGAAAGAATTATAGTTACCTTCCTCTATTAATGAGGTGGAAACGCCGCACCTAACACAGATATTTGCTTGAGGTCATTCGTCACGATCCAAGAGCTTTTATTCGGTAAGATTAAAGTAGAACAGTAGAGGTACTAAACAAGATAAGCTGTTTCCGCCATTATAGTCAATCGGACTGACGTTGACGCCCTTTTATTCTATGTTTTTGAATTTCCAGCGGAGGTCAGTCTCTATCTTTTTAAAATAATATCGATGGATTGATTGATCGATCGATTAATGACATTATTCAGTGAAATGATTGGATGGTTGGTGAACTTGCTAACAGGTTGACTGATGACCGATTGATCGATCGGTCGTCGATCGATTGTTTGATTAACTGATTGTTTGATTGGCTGTAAAATTTAGATAATCCACTCATTAATTAGGATACAAAATTGTCTCACGAGAGTCATACAATAAATGTTATTGGTCAGCAGGCGTGCGTCTACATGGATCCACTGTATCACAGAAAATCACGATGAAGAGCTCTAAATGTTTGCACGCGCGCCTTCGTTGTGAACGTCAAATCGTATAGAGTACCACAGTCGTATCGTCACGACGCCATGTGGCACTCTCTGTTGTCAACAGACGTTGGTTACCGTTCATTACGGCTGAATAGGCTTTCTGGAATAGGCATTTTGAAATCTAATATTTTACCATCAAAATGTACTAAAAACACAAAAGCTCACATTATATTAGTTATTGAACACACTTAATCATCAAATAATATTTACAAAGAAAAAGTAAGATACAACATTCTAATAATTACGTTAGAAATTGGGATTAATGGTTTGTCAGTGGCGAAAATGGCGCCTGGTTGAACGCTTTCTGCAACGATAGCAACGGAGTAGTATCACGCGGTATCGTGACGTAACACCGTACTCTATGAAGCGATTTAGTCAGTTGTGTCTCTAACCGTTCTTTGACAATACGAGTTTCGGTTCATCCGTCTGATCTTATTTCTAAATGAAAAGTAGGAGGCGATAGTTGTTCAATACTTAAATTTCGTAATATTCTGGAATTTTACCCTAAGGTGACAGACGGATTTTCCTTAGATTGTATTGATTATATTGTTTCACTTTTGTAAACAATCTGCTAGTGTTACCCATTCGTAACGTGATGATGCATAAACGTTATATTGTTCCTAATCAAAAGAAACTTAAATACCTTCCATGGTAGTTTAATACCAATTAAGGTAAAGCAAAGTTTAGTGACGTCACTTTGACGTAGTTTTGATGAAAATGTTGTCATCAAATAATATAAATCAGACGTTTCACTTGGAAGATTTGACAAATCATAATACGGGCATAATTCCCCCTTCCTTTCTTTCATATGTCTTTAGTCTTCAGTAAATATACTCTTAAAGAACTTTTTCATAAGCTCATCATTTAAAGAGAGGAGTATGTGGCTATCAAATTTACAGCTGTGTTGGTGCAAGTACACATAACTATAAAACAGTCCTTCAACAAAATGTTTGTTAGATTATTTTGAATCAATATTATTCTAAGTTATACATCGAGTTTCAGTTGCGTCGCCTTTAGTTTAAGCATGGAATAATTCAATGTAATCGCAACCGTGTGTGCACAGACCAAAGTGTCAACTTTCTCGTGGTGACGCGTGTAGTTGAGATTTACAAAAGTAACTTCTTGACAATTCCGGTTAACTTCTGTTTCCTATAATAACGCAGTTCGTATCAGAACGCAGCTGTAGTGTGATAGGCAGCCTGGGCTTGATGAGACCTTCAATTTAAATCTGATTTTACAGCATTTCTCAAAAGCTTGCTTTCGTGATTATGTGATGTTTGTGGATTTGCATTTCGCATTATCATGATCATTATCTATTTCTTCTGTAGATTTTGTCGGTGTTTTCGTAGAAGTTAATTAAGTCGGTATTTTTAACTCATTAGAAACCAAATTGAAGAAACCATAAAGTATACTATATATAAACCTTTCTAAAAAAATCGTCTTAACTGTTATAGTTGCCCGTGTGGTTGGGTTTCTGTCTTGTTTTATCTTAATTTGAAAGTAAGGTATCAATGTTGTAATTGGTTTTGCCAAAGATCAACTTTTGATTGTAGGTACCGCAATGTAACCATTAATCTATAATTAGCACGTGTTTTCATATGGTCAATATTATCTTGGTGTTGCTTTGTAAATATGAATTAAAAATGAACATTCTTTTCATTTTTTTATTGAAAGTTTGTAACTTAGCTAGTCTTCTTGATATACAAAATAGGTCTGAGTAATTAAAACACGTAGGCCTAATTAATTATAATTTAGTGGCATTAATCAGACAGTATGCTATGCTAGGTAAAGCATGGAATCCTTAATCGTTTACTCACTTCCCGTCGCTACAAAAATAATGAACGGTTCCACCATACCTCAATGATTCCACTAATCCCCACCCAAGCGTGATATTGTAGGACCTAAAAAAACGTACGTACAGCCGTAAAATTATGGCTTGGTTCTCACGAGAGCCTTAGTATCTGGATCGGGAGCTAACCGTTAGCACCTGCGTGAGAACGCCCGATCGGTTAGCGCTAACCGTTAGCAGTATCCGGATACCGCTAACGGTTAGCAAGCGCTATCAGTTAGCAAGTTGAGCGCGTTTCTATCATCAACCAATCACACGTACGCGTTTACAGGATCCGGATCTTGCTAACCGTTAGCTGCCGTGTGAGAACATAGCCAACGTGTTTAAGTGACACGTGCGCATGGCTAGTCCCGTCTTTTGAATATCACACTCTGATTGGTCAGTTGTTAGATTGATTGTCACGATAAATTTTAGTGATTTTGTCTGATTTAATTACTTTCTGTAAGTGGTAGGCCTGGCCTATCTATAATTCACTTACTGCTTTGTCAAAATGTCCATAATGTCTCTGGAGGGACTGGTCGAGTACGAACCGTGGGGTGAGGTGAATGTAGTTGCCCAACTCCCCACACTGAGTAGCCTTGCTTGTGTATGGTCTGCTACCGAAATCGTCACTCGGTAAGTCAATGATGACATCACTGTTGTCATACAGTTCCCACTCTGCTTTGCTGTAGTGTGGACGTCGTTGCCATGTTTCAGGAACCAGAATATGAATGTCTTTGAAATATGCTCTTTGGCTGTGAAAAATAAAAACATTCTTTCATAAGTTCAATCAAGAATATTTTAGAAATAATTATGTCTGAATCCTGGTAATGGATCGATTTTCACTATAGAGACATTGCGTAGCCACTGACATGATGTATTTACATTCGGTTGATTCTACTTTTAAATTGCTTTGAGAGTGATATATTATCACATTGTAACTGTCACAAAACAGTGAAGTCTGGAGACTGTCAACTTTATCAAGAACTGATGTAATATTCTGGCCTATAGGGATACACGACAATATTTTGATTACTATTAATTCATTTAATTATACTGTAATAGAAATTTCTGAGTGTCAATCAAACTTAAAAGTTGGCCATGAAACATGTAAGTTTACGCTTTTTTAGGACCCACACCTTAGCAACAAGCGTGGGGCTAAGCAAAAACGGTCTATATGGTAATTTTTGAAACTTAAGCCAAGTGCCCACTAGCCTACGTCGGCATCGGCAAATGAAGCGATTCCATGAGACGGCGAGGCAACGACGCGTCGACGTGTTCACGCGACCGATCGTTGCTAACCACGATTCACTGATTGTGAAATGGCTTATTTTCATCGAATGCACTGCAAAGACAGATCATGGACCAATTGATATAGTCCTAGTAATAGGTCCATAGACAGACATACTACTACATAATTTGATAACACGAAGACTATCATGTTTATTATCTAATGGCTAAAACTGAGGTTAGTAGCTTATTAACAGTATAACAATGCCTCCCTTTGTGACAACTTGCTATTTAAGCCATACTATTGAGATGAAAAATCAGGTTGATAGGCCTAAAAGCGGAGTTTGCCCCATATTTTTGTGCCTACGTAAAGAAATATAATGATAACTATTATAAGGAATGACATAATAATGATTTGGTCTGACGTCTAGATTTAAAAAAAAAATGTTTTCAACGAAAACATTGTTTCCATTTCCGTATCGTCACATACAGGTAGGCATTATATTTAATCCTGTAAGTGTTTCATGTTTTAAAAATAGCGCCACCCACGGATTAAAATTAGGTCGGGTTTTTTTTTAATGAACTTGAAACGCTTTCAATTAGAATTTCTTTAAAACGAATAGATAGTTTCCCCTTCTGTGTAAGTTATTATTATTATTATTTTACCGTAGAATAGAATAATTTAAACGCATTTATTATTGGTTGCCGTTTCATTTCTAAATTTCCCAATCCGTCTCTACAGTCACTGTCTAGTATCTGAACATTCATTTTTAGTTTTCAAAATGTGAACGAGCACTAAACTCAGCAGGCGATGATAGCGCGACGCCAAAGTTGCCCTCCAGAAGTTGCTAAAATATATGTTTTAATGGTATTAGTAAAAATGACACAGTCCACAGTGAGTCCAATCGAAGTATTGGTCATCATCAACTTAAACGTCTGGCCAGGATCTAAGTTCTTGATAATTTACCAGTAAATCCAACAGTTAGGCTAGTAAATAATCATCTTCCTCTTCGACACCCAAACGTAATGAAAGCCTAAAACTATGTACTTTAATTTCAAACAGGTCGAGAAATAATTTATGCTATTAGATATATTACGTATTTTTTTTTAATTTTTAGCCCTATAATCGATATGTAATTTTGTGAATTATTGTATTGTAGAAATACAAATGTGTATTATATTATATTATATTTTAATAATAAGTGACTTTTGCAATTTAGTCTGAAATGATGACCCACATTAATGACAAATGGACTTATATTTCCACCAATTAATATCGTTTTTTGTATTGGTATTAGTAAAAATGACACAGTCCAACGTGAGTCCATTTGAAGCATTGGTCATCATGAACTTAAACGTCTGGCTAGGATCGAAGTTCTTGAATATAATTTACCAGTAAATCCAAAAGTTAGTCTAGTGTATAATCAACTTCCTCTTCGACACGCGAACGTAATGAAAACTTAAAACCATGGTAACCGAATCCAATTTTTGTACTTTACTTTCATACAGGTCGAGAAATAATTTAGGATTCGATAGTAGGCCTATTACGTATTTAAATCAATTGATAAACCTTACGATTGATATGTAGTTTTGTGAATTATTGTACTGTAGAAATACAATATAATATTTTAATATTAAGTGACTTTTGCAATTGAGTTTAAAAATTTGGCTTATATTGATGACCCACATTGATGACAAATAGACTTAACATATTTCCACAAAGTAATACATACTCTACTAATTTTTTCTTCCATCCGTTGCATGCTATTATTGTACAAGGAAGCATCCAAGGTAATAATTTTGACGACTTGTCAAACGAGTAACAAGTTTTCAAATGCTATATTAAACGTACACACTTGAGAACCATTACATAATTATACAGATATGTCGATTCCGTTATACCCATTTGGGTCACGAATATTTCAGCTGAGATTATATTGATTATGAAAACGACAGGAAGACTTGTTTATATTCTTTATGTTCTTTATAATTATTTTGGGTCGAACCTCAACATTTCTCAACCTACACCAAAAAGCATGACGTATTAGTACAAACACATCGTTAATAACCACAATCACGTGTAAGTTTGTCTAGTAATTAAAACTTCAATGAAATATAAAAGAATAGGCGGTAGTGTTTCCGCTGCTTGGTAAATTAAAGGGAATAGTGGTTTTGTTGAGCAATCGCTGAAGTCTCCAAATCCACCAATGCCATTTTTCACATCCGGGAACCTGTATTGTTATACTTTTTCATCGAACTTAGATTTTAGAATCTAAAAATTAATTTGTAAATGATTCATCAAAGGTTTAATTATCAACGCGATGACGGAATACATCTCTTAAACCTAGCTTTGTTGTTTGTTAATTTATCGCCTTTAATAATTCGGCAGTCCCTAATCAAAGTGGGACGGGAGAAGGAAACAATTATGTACGCAAGTTCCTCGGCAAGTTCGGTGGTTCATTGTCAAGGTTACCGTTTGCGACGTGCCAATTCGTCCCCAAAGCTCTTACCTTATTTTTTCCACTTTAGCATCGTTGGAGGAGGAATATTTTTAAACGTATTTATTCAATGTAACGTTATCTTTTCTACCACCAGTAAGCCCGTTTAATTGCTGTTGAAAAATGGCTTCGAAATTAGCTTAATAAGCTAGGTCAAATAAGGTCAGTGTGTAATTAATGTTTCCGTCTGAAGCACTACGTTCCAGCATGTGATTCTACTTCATTCATTTGCTTTCATGATCATGGGGACGTTAGTAAACATGGAACGGTTATCTGAACTACCGCGACCGACAATCACCCACTTGTCCGAGTCTTTAATATCAGTTGTTAAGGTCTATAATTAGATTCATATCTTGATATAATTTTATTGGCTTTCATGGTTTAATTGAAACAATTTCTTTTAAGTATCCAGTATGCTGACGTAGGAGTGTAGATGGTTACACCAACTGTCAATCTACACCATAAGTGCTATATACTACGGTATGTTTTTTACTTTAAAAAAAACAGTATACTTTTTTTTTACTAAAAATAATTGGCAACTTCAGATCTCACTTTTATATGTCCTATAACGGAAAGCATGTAAAAAGAGAGGCAGCTGTTTTACTTGCTTTCTGCGTTGTTTCTCTGTAATACATAAAGAAGTGTACAATTCATCTATGCCTATGTCATTTTGCATAGCGAGATCCCTGGTTGGCAATTTATTTTTGCTGGAAACTGCAGGTAATGGCGTTTCGCGCAAACCATTATCATAATGAAAATATGAAATGCAAAATAAAAATCATTCGTCGGGGACACATAATTGTTGTAAGCATAATGAATTATTTGAGTAGGCCTACATATCGCCAATCACGATACCGTATAGTACGCGGTTTGTGGATTGAACAGGAAAATATTGAATGTAAAGCACAGTTTATGAATTTTATATACAAGAGGGAAACTAAAGTACATCTGCAAGATGGTACATTTTCATTATAATGGTACATATTCATTATAATGAATATGAAATGTGTAGGCCTACTACCGTAATGACCATATACACGTAACGACGATTGTACGTGTATATCGGGATGCACATAGAGACGTGACATGTAAGACGGGTATAGGCCTACACTCACGTAACGACGGGTATGCACATATACATCAGAAGGCACATAAGTCTAATATGTGACGACGATTATATTGTACATTATGTATACCTGTGTTCGTCGTTACCTGTATCTACGTATAACGGCGCGCCGCCGCGGCGGGTCGGCACCTATACATACCGTACCCATCAGTATACACATGTAACGTCGGAGGCCTATTCAGCATGCAAGCTCGTATTGAAACCTCTCTACGCGCTCACAGATGCGCACAGACGTGTGTGCAACATACGCACAGTATAAACTACTCAAAACACATTTTTCGTGACGCGTTTCATATAGGCCGATTTATACTTTCTAATTATGGACGTACGGTATTTTAGTTTTGATTCAGCCAATTCATATCTCTAAGAGTTTCTTTTTTTTTTAAACTTTTTTTTTTACAGATGCTTGAAGCAATTTTCTGCTTAATATAAATTGTCCATTGGCCTGTTCCCGAGCTACTCTTTGTTTCCTTCGCTTGACGTTTTCTTTTTAAGTTTGTTCTTAATAAACAGAATAGTAATATTGATAGAAGTTCAAACGAATAGCCTATATTCGTTGTGAATTTAGTTTCACTAAGACCTTTAATCTAAGTCGCCACTCAATCCATCTACTCAACAAATCACATTGCATTTTGACCGAAGGAATTGACATAGGTTTTAAGTTAAGCTGCCTCTTATAATAATATAATAGATAAACCTTATCTTCAATAAAAAGTATATTTATGATTTGGCAATCATATTTATAGGCCTATAAAAAGTACGCACTCTTTCAGTGACATACGTTTTGTAGGTGCTTATTGGATCCAGTCAAGCAAAGCCAGATCAAGAACAAACACACAAAAAGTTGATAATATTATAATAATAAGCCTAATGATAATGATAACAATAATAATAGGCCGGAATAATAAAAAAATAATAATAAGATTATTACGATATCATACCGGGCCTAATTAAAGAACTACCGGTATTATAAATAGGCCTATTGTTATTTATCCAAAAAAAAAAAAAAAAAAAAAAAAAAAAAAAAAAAAAATCAAAAATACTTTATTATCCAGAAGGAAATTCATCTGGCCATGGCATGATGTAAAAGGCATAAATATGTAATTATATATCTTAACTATTAGTATTAGTAATTATAGCAAAATGACTAATGATAAAAAAAAATTATGTAGAATTTATAAATAGCAATTACAGTATATATATCATGATATAGCTGTTGGTATCTTATTGTAATACTAAAAGTTTAATATTTCCTTATGGAAACAAGCAAGCAAAAATATGAGAATACGACAATATCTGTAAATCGTCCTGCGTTTGAACTCTGTAATAGGTAGAAGATGAGCAGAGGTACTTACTTAGTGGCTGAGTAGAGGAATGCTGATGCTTCGGTCATCCGCTCTTTCAACTTCTCTATTAAGTTGTGATCTTCTTTAACGCGTTCATTAATTCCGACGACTACGTTGATGTATTTGTTGTCAACCAAAAGTACTCGCGAAGGTCCTGCACATCCTTTGTCAACGAACAGAACACTGCCAATAAAAATAAATAACACTGCTGCCTTTATTGAAAATATTATCTCTGTAACCGACATTTTTAATGCGATTGAAAATACTGGAGCAAATATGCTACTGCTACTGCTGCAAGTGTTACTGCTCCTGTTACGATTGATGTTTACGCTAAGTGAGCTGAAACCCCAATGACAGAATACACTGCTTCTAAACTTATCAATATCCAACCCTCGTGATTTAGTCAAGCTTAGTACATTCATAGCGTTACAACGCCCTCTATTGATACGATATTTTTTTAGGTTTTGAGGTTTTGTAAATTTTAATTCATATACAGTAATTTCCAATTTTAGAATGAGATGTAAACATAATTAATACGTTGATACCATTTATTTACTTTTGATAATTATTTGAATAGTTGTAATTGTTTGGGTTTGACAAACAGCTCTATGGTTGGATTGACGTTTCTTTAGAATCGAGTATTTTAGTGGTATTTTGTGGTTATGTATTTTATAGACGAACAAAATGTATGAGTCATTAAAAGTGCATCGACCTTTAACTGACACAACAACAATAACAAGGAAATCTGTTTTTGTATGGTTACCTTTATGACAGAATCTATAAAACACTGTTTACTAAATTGGTAACGGTAAATTGTATTTATCATATCCGGTCCCAGAATTCGCGTAGGCATGCTGTCAAGGGGGTAAAAACCGGCCCCGTATCTATGATTCCCGAACAATAAGGCATATAATGACAGGAGGAAGGTGATGTACTAGATGTGGCTGTTCTCTCACCCCCTTGGTAAAATTGTTCCTCAGTGGTTTTTAATTGTTTTTGTCAGTCGGAACCCTTGTAATTACACCCATGGGTTCCCCTTATTTAAATAGACAGATTTGGGTTATTACCGGTATGTATTTTGACACTTTGTTCATTGAATACTAATGCTATCGAAAAGCTGTAAGTTACATAGTGTGGTTAATAGGTCTGTCTATAGCTGCTGTATTTCGAATTGTCAGAGAAATCTGCATAATCTAAGCCAGAACGTTTATGTGCACGCCCTGGTCTGGAGAGACGTACCGTATGCTCTGCATCCAGGGGCTCTACATAGCCTATGTGAGGCCTATTCTACCAAATTCATTTGAGCTATTATAATTATACAGCATGTTCTAATTAGTTAGCATAATATTGTCCATATTTCTGCGTTCGGCTTCATTCCAGAAAGTGTATCTTTGTCCATGAAAGTTGACCATTTGAAAGGTTAATGACCTGAAATTCACTAGTTAAGTCTTGTCATTTTTAAGAGGAATTATCATTAAATCTATGGTATGAGGCATTGACTGTGCATAAAGAAGTATTTTAATGTTTATTGATAAAATATTAAGGACAAGCGAGAAATTTAGCGAATAGACCTTTCCGGAGTGTCAATCAAACTTAACAACTGACTAATCAAAACAGCGCTAGGAATACGCGCGCGTCTCACAAACCCACGTGCTGTTTTAACGCTGTCGCTTTGTGGGACCTTAGTAACAATATCCATGGGGCGGGGCTTAGCGGAAAGGTCTTTTGACATAATAAGACTGACTGCAATTTGATTCTTTTCTGTGTTTGTGGTGAATATCATTTAATGATAAATAAAATAATTACTACGCGCTGCGTATCATAAGGCCATGTATGGCGTTTAAATGATGTGAAGTTCTAGGAATAAAATATCCCTGAAAAACCTACATTTTTATCAGGTTTATAATGAAGTCATTGCTCACTTCTATCCACGTGACCATCATGGTGAGTATGCGAATTTGAACATTAAAATGTGGTGATTGCGTTTGGCATCATTATTAGTCTGGATTAATGGAGCTATAGCTTGGTGGTTTTAAGGTGCTTGAATACTAATGCAGTCTTGTCTTCTATTCCTGACTAAAAAGTGAGAAATAGACACATAAGTAGAAGAGTGGAGCAATTGAAGGCAGCGATAGAAATCCGTGAGAATGCGAGACTCTGCTATAAGTGA